CAGCATCATCATCATCAGAATCATTAGCAGCATCTTCATCATCACCAGCATCAGCATCGCATAAGCAGCAGCAGCAGCAGCTCATCCTCCCTCTTCGTCTGGTTCTTACCAACATCATTCGCCGTCCCCTTTCTTTGTCCCCCTCCGCCGCCCGGGGTGGGCGAAAGGGGGGATGCCAACGCGAGGGTGAGCGAATCAGCTGCATGTAGCTGGTCATTCCGGCGCCCCCTGGCGCCGGAGGCACCAACGTGTATAGAGGAAAGCGCTCGGCTGCGGGGCCGAAACCAGATGCACGGAGCAGCTTTCCAAGCCCCACCGTTCCATCCCCCCTTTCGTCCTCCTCCTCCTCCTCTTCTTCCTCCTCCTCCTCCTCCTCCTCCTCCTCCTCCTCTTCCTCCACGTCCTCTTTTTCCTCTCCCTCCTCCTCCTCCTCCTCCTCCTCCTCCTCCTCCTCCTCCTCCTCCTCCTCTTCCTCCTCCTCCACCTCCTCCTCCTCCTCTTTCCTCCTCCTCCTGCTCCTCCTCCTCCTGATCCCCTCTTTTTCTCCTCCTCCATCCTCCTCCTCCTCACCTCCTCCTCTCCTCCTCCTTTCCTCCTCCTCCTCCTCCCGTTTCCTCCTCCACCTCCTCCCCTCCTCCTCCTCCTCCTCTCCTCCTTCTCTCCTCTCACCCCTCCCCTCCCCCTTCTACTCCCCATCCCCCTCCTCCTCTCCTCCTCCTCCTCCTCCTCCTCGCACCACCTCCTCCCCTCCTCCTCCTCCCTGTTCCTCCTCCTCACCTCCTTCTCCTCCTCCTCTTCTTCCACTTCCCCTTTTCCTCCCCCTCCTTCCTCCTCCATCCTTTTTCCTCCTCCTCCTGCTCCTCCTCCCTCCTCCTGATCTCGTCCATCCTTCTCCGTCCTCTTCCTCCTCCACCTGCTCCCTGGCTCCTCCTCCTCCTGATCCTTTTCTCCTTCTCCTCCTCTCCCCTCCTCCTCCTCCGCCTCCGCCACCTCCTCCTCCTCCTCCGCATCCCCTCTCCTCCTCCTCCTCCTCCTCCTCCTCACTCCTCCTCCTCCTCCTCCTACTCCTCCTCCTCCTCCCTCCTCCTCCTCCTCCTCCTCCTCCTTCCTCCTCCCCCCTTTTTCTTCCTATCCCATCCCCCTCCTCCTCCTCCTCCTCCCTCCCCGCTCCTCCTCCTCCTCCTCCTCCTCCTCTTCCTCCTCCTCCGCCTCCTCCTCCTCCTCCTCCTCCTCCTCCGCCTGCTCCTCCTCCTCCTCCTCCTCCTCCTCCTCCTCCTCCTCCTCCTCCTCCTCCTCCTCCTCCTCCTCATCCTACTCCTCCACTCCTCCTCTCCTCCTCCTCCTCCTCCCGCCTCCTTCCTCCTCCTACCTCCTCCTCCTCCTCCTCCTCCTCCTCCTCCTCCTCCTCCTCCTCCATCCCCCTCCCCCTCCCCCCCAACCCAAGTTGCACCCAGCTGGTCGCGCAAAGTCGGGAACTCCGGGAGCCTCCCGGCCTCGCGGGGAGTGCTCTGGAGGCCGTCCGTGCGAGCGGGGCTCCGTCCGAGCCGAGCTCCGTGCGGGCCCAGCTGCGTTCGAGACGAACTCCGTGCGAGCTACGTCCGTGCGGGTGGATCCCAGCGCGAGCCCAGCCGGGTCCGAAGACCCACCAGGCCTCCTGCCGCCCCCGTCATCTCAGTCCTTCTCCTCCTCCTCATCCTTGTCCGCCTCCTCCTCCTCCTCATCATCCTCCTCCTCCGCCTCCTCCTCCTGCTCATGCTTCTCCTCCTCATCCTGCTCCTGGTCCTGCTCCTGCTTCTCCTCCTCCTCCTCCTCCTCCTCCTCCTCCTCCTCCTCCTCCTCCTCCTCCTCCGCCTCCCTCCTCTCAGGGCCCCGCAAGCCAGCAGAGTAGCAGACCAGGACGGTGGCGCACCCACGACGGGCCTGCGGCCGTGGGTCCAGCCCGGGCGGGGTCGAGCCCGGGCGGGTCGAGCCCAAGAGGACAGCACTCCGCGTTCGCTCCTCCTCCTCCTCCTCCTCCTCCTCCTCCTCTCTCCTCCTCCCCTCCACCTCCTCCTCCTCCTCCACCTCATTCCCTCCTCCTCCTCCTCCTGGTCCTCCTCCTCCTCCTCCTCCTCCTCCTTTCTCCTCCTCCCCCTTCCTCCCCCCTCACCTCCTCCCCTCCTCCTCCTCCTCCTCCTCCTCCTCCTCCTCCTCCTCCTCCTCCTCCTCCCCCTGCAGCGGGGCCCCGGAGACCCCGAGTCTGGGGGGATCTCCGGGGCGCTCGGCGCGCGGCGCGGGCCCTTTCCCGCAGGCCGCCGCCCGCCCCGCCCCCACTGTGCGTGGCCGCGAACGCGGCGGAGAGGTTGGGCACCGCCTCGACACCTCCCGGCCGGGTGCCAGACCGCCCAGAAGGTCTGGGAGGCTTGGCCCCCGGCCGGATAGCCGCCCTGCTCCTCCAGCTCCTCCAGCTCGGGCGGCAGTTCGGCGCCTGCCTGCGCGCAGTCAGTCGCCGCCGCCCAGC